GCGAGGGCAAGAGAGGGGAGTTTGGTTTCTAAGAAGGCCAGCGAATGTTTGAGGCTAAACTCGTGACAGTTCTATGCTGAGGAAGGCCCCGAGAACCTGGATGTTCCACATGAGAATCTTCATGGGAGGGGCCGGGAATGAGAGGCGCATCTAGATGAGCCCCTCGGGACGCTGGCAAGGCCCAGGGGCGAGCTGGACAGAGGGGCTAAGGGGAGCAGGGGTGTCTCCCCAGTCGTAATTGATGCAACTTTGGAGGTTAGACAATTCCCTCGGGCCTTTCACACTTACCTTGAATCTGGTTTGGGCGCCAGCTATGATGAAAGCTTAAATGGCCCCCTTTGGTCCATCGGCATTCAAAACCCATTATTTTAAGCCCCTGGAGTAGGTCAGCTTGCGTTTGGTCAAGGCCATCGACAAAGTTCGAGTCCACTGAAATAGGATTGGCCATCACGAAGCTAGCCGAGGATGCAGAAATGCTGCTGGCAAGAGGGGAATTGAAGGGTTGTCCATAAAGGGGGTCATGGTTGGGCCTACCCTAGGGAATAGTAGGGGGGTTAAAGAGGGAGAGGGGGAATGGGAAGAAGGGGGGCTCAGGCTTGCCAAGGAGACAGTAAAGAGTCTGGGAGAAGAGTGGGGGGAGTGGGGCTGAGGAGCAGGTATAGCTGGCAAGGGAGGTGGGTTGTAGAAATTGTGATTATGAGAGACCCAAAAAGAGGCCGCAAAGGAGCCGGTGGGTGGGGAGTTTAGCCGCTGATGGAGGACAAAGTGGGGGAATGCAAACCCAAACGGAGAGGGAGTCAGTTGATAGCATGGCCAAGCAAGGGCAAGACGTTAGAAGGTGGATAAGGTTGAACGGCGAGAGAGAAGGCGACAAAAGTCTTCGGGGTGGTACAATGGGATGGAGCTGAAAGGAAAGCCATTTCCAAGGAGGTGAAAAGGATGGGGGGCGGGGGGGGGAGAGATTGGAAGAGGGTGGGTCGGAAGCCTCAAGGGTGAGGTGGGGAGCAAAGGCCAGTTTTGAGGAAGCAAGGGTCCAAAACGAACAGCTATCAGATTAGAAGAAACATGATAAGGGGTGAGAGCCATCAAGGAGGATTCGGAGCACTAAGGATTCAAGGGGTTAGGTAGAGAAGGCGAGGGCGTAGAAAGGGGGAGGCAGAGAAGGGAGAGAGCGGTCCTGGGCAGCGAGCTCAGGGGTGTGGAGGGGAGAAGTGGGGACTAGTGCAAAGGTGTCAAAGGAATGGTGGTACAGAAAGGGCACTGGGAAGCAAGGTAGGGCAACCGTTGAGAACAGGAAGGACGTCGAGGATGAGGGATGAGTATACCCTACACAAAGGGTGGCAAGGAGTGGTGCGAGACAACCCAAGGGCTTCCGTAGGATGGGATGCAATTGAGAGAATGGCGGTTGGCGGAGGGGAGGTCGAAGCCAAGGGCCAGGAAACGTCGGCCAAGGGTGGTAGTGCTTCGACCGGTCGTGTCAGTATGTTGGCCAAAGGTGGTGAATCACATTGAGGATGCAAAGTTAGGTTGGCAGCCAGATAGGTCCAAGTGTCAACGATTGATTGAGGGGTGGGCTGTTCCAGACGGCGGACGGCTTGATGGGGGAAGGGGAGCAATGGAGCATTACGTGATCGACACTGGGGAGCATGCCATGTGTATTGAGGCCTTGGGATGGGAGGGGGAACAAGTAGAGGAAGAGGAATGGGAAAACTGCCTTGCATTAGGTGGGAAATTTGAACCCCCAGTAGGTATGGGGATCACGTGTGTGGTTGGGCCTAGTAGGTCCACGGGGGAGTGAGGGGGAGGCCCTCCACATGGGTAGGTGAGATGCCTGAGGGAATGAGAATGGGAGATGGGACATGGGGAAATCATGGCCGTCGGATGAAGGGCCAGCATTACAAGGGAGCAAGGAAAGGGACGGTGGGGGTGCAAAGGAATCTGGACCGTCACAGGCGAAGGGATCACGGCCATCGAATCGCTACAGTGGGGATGAGGAGGAATCGAGCCACAGGCTTGTAGTGATCAACGACAACAATTTGCTCTCGGATGTCTTCTACAACATACCGTAGTCCACCCATTAGGACCCACAGGAGAGGCCTGATTATCTACCTAGCCCTCTCTCACCGGCGGAGTTGAACGGGGAGCCAGGAAATGGCACAGTGAGGGAGGAGAGGCAGATTTCTAGGCCAAATGCACGGTAGAAGAGACTGCCTTTCTCGAGCCAGATGGTAGTAGGGATCTGGTGGGGACATACAGACTCAATGAAAAATTGGATAGCTCCCAAGGGAAGAAACTCCTAAGATGTTCAGTGGACTGCAATGAAGTCCCACATGCCTCGGGATTGAAATTTCCTAGGTGGCAAGCGTCAAGCCACAAACCTGCAGCAATCGACAGCCACGATTTTCTCTCCAACGTTTTCTACAACATACCATAGTCCAGCCATTAGTAGCCACATGAGAGGCTTGATTCTTTACTTAGATCTCTTTCACCGGCAGAGTTGAACGAGGAGCCAGGAAATGGCGCTGTGAGGGAGGGGAGGCAAATTTTCAGGCCAAACGTGCATGGTCGAAGCGCCTGCCATTCACGAGCCAAATGGCAACCAGGATCTGGTGGGGATCTATGGACTCTTTGAGAAGTTAGATAGCTCCTAGGGGAAGAAACTCTGAAGATGTCCAGTGAACTGCAATGAAGCCCCAACATGCCTCACCAATCTGTTTTAAAATTTCTAAGCGGCAGGCGTGGAGATGGATATGGAAGACCCAGAGCCGCACCTTTTGACTAACTAAAGCTCCATGGTTTTCTCCATCTAGAGAGGGATGGGGAGGAGGAGCCAGGACGGGCAGGGACTAAGGTCAAAGAAGATGCAAATAGTTGTGGTACAAGGGAGGAAGGGGGGGAGGGAGACGAAAAGGGTGGTGACGTCCGTCAAATGGAGCCATTGGAGCTCACATTTGCTTTAATGGAAATTGATATTATGGGCTTGGACGCCGAGCAAATATAGAATTAAGATAAAATTCCCATTTTTAACTTTGTTACTTTTTATCTTTAAGTAAAAATCAAGGCATGTGACATGGACAATTTGTTTAATTTTTAAATTATGCCTTTTTGTTTTAAAATATTTTTTGTAAATTGATAGAGAGGATTTAAAATATGATTAACACCCAATATTTTGTAGCTAATCTCTATGAGTTGTGGATAAAAAGTGTTCTAAATTCATAAGTACAAGGTGCTACCTGTGTATCACTCAGGCCGCAGGATAGATCAAGTTTTTATATAAAAGAACCATTATACTCAATACTTCCCCCTTTGCTTCACTAAAATGGATATTGCGACATAAAGGACATTGAAAGAACACAACTATCTTAGTATTATGCATGCCTAAGAATATGTTTTGGGGTACTAATGTTTTAGTACCCATCAATCCCACATTTGCAATAATGAGCAATAGGGATAGTAAAAATCCTAATTGCTTGATGCACAAGAGACAAGAAAAAATTAGCTCAAACCACAATAACAAAGGAGAAAGATCTTAAGCAAAGTAACAGCTATGGCTGTTAGCACCACAGAATTCTTCACAAATTATCTTGAGCAGGAAAAATGATTTCAACAATATGATCGGCTGAATGTAAAAGCAACATATCCATCTATGTATTGGAGGTCGGGAGAGGCCCTGATTGGATGCTCTATATCTTACCGAGGATATACATAAAGTGAAGAGGTTAGGATTACAGCTTTGATCATATGCAAATGACATTGATAAAAATAACTGTTCCACATTCATGGAATGGACCAAATAAAACTTCTGATTTTCTAACATGACCAAACTATATCATTATCTCCTAAAATACCATCACAGCCAATGTTTGTTTGCATTTCTTTTCAACACCGATGCTTGTCGCATTTGAAAGATGTGCTATAAAATTTTTCCAAAACCCACCAACATGAAATCACAAAAAAAAAATCAGAAGCCACCACCGCTCTAATACTCTGAATTATATGTTTCTCATAGAATGTTGTTGTCTGCCGCCATCATCGTCAAAGTCTTTTTCCAACTAATTGGGTCAGCTTTTTTTTCTTTTTAATTGGGGTTGGCTGTTGTTGTCTACCCTAAAATTGTCAAATGATTTTTTCAATCATTAAAGAAATTTAAAATCTTTCTAATTAAATTGGCACATAATTAACCAACATTGTACTGAAAGGAGGCAACATATGGTTTCCTATTGTCACGTTGCATATGAAGGGCCAATGTACAAGTAACTGACATTTTCTGAAACACATCACTAGCAATTTGAAAAGAACCAGGGAAATCTATTACTCCAGGAGTCATCTATGTTGCTGCTAAAATAGTGGACCCCGAATGAAGTCAATAATTTATTAATACACATCAACAAAAGGAAAGATGAAAGGGTGAAACATCTCGCAACCATCATTCCAGAGTAGTTTCCATGACTCCTTTCCAGCTCATTATCACTCAGACAATGAGAATCCAGTCAAAAACATCAGGTAATCATCCAATAGTTAGTGCTTATGGTATGGACAAATCCTGCTACTGAAGATATATGACAAGGTCAAATTTGTAACATTTAGACTCATCTACATGTTAAAACATGCTCTAAAGACAATATACAGCTGACTTTGCCTTTCATTTCCGGTTCCTTGTTAATGCAGTGAAAGCTTAAAGGTCCTACAATGAGGTGGACTCTTAGCATATTCATACGCTTACTTGAGTGTCTTCATGAAACATAATTGGGCAAGTTGGTGTACGGCGATACAAAATTGACATATCAGAGATTATTGTGAGTCAGAAATATTTTTTCCAGAAAACTAAATAATCATTTATACATTCTTAAATATGTCTAGGTGTTTGACAAACCAGAATACTAAGCATTACTATAATCAATAACATACTTGCTCATGTTTGTTTTGATGCAAAGTAATAACAATAAAACGCATACCCAAAATAAATAACTAAATGAACAGATAAAGATCAGAAAGAGAACCTGCCGAACAACAACATAATCACCAACAGACAAGCTAAGCTCCTTCTCAGATCCAGCAGTGAATGCATGAATAGCCTGTTAAAAAATGATAAATAAATAAACATTTTAAAGCCAAAATGGCTTCCCATCCCCCAAGTGATATTAGATTGGGATTTGAATTACATACTTCAGCAAGGAAATATAAGGCCTTCTCTGAACTGCTCTCAGGGGAGACTACTGGAGGTGCAGATTCTTTCCTTTGTTTCTCTGCTAGCATCTGTGCTTTGCATCATAATATTCATGATTTAAGAACTTTATCCACTTGGCAAGTTTAATTGATCAAGAAAGGAAGTGTCTCAATTAAATAAAGATGGACAAGAAGGAACCTGTGCTTCAACGTCATCAAGAATTTCAGCCACTCGCCGATGATATAAACGTTCTGCCTCAACCTTAAAGAGAAACCAAAATTCAACATAATTGCACATAAATTATACTCTTCAAAAATAAGATAAATAAAATAATAAACAATCGTAATCATACCATAGCTATTAATCGTTGAAGTGTCATTCTCTGTTGTTGTGATTCAATAGCTGCCAATGCAGCAGTTGCTTCTTTCCCCAGAACTACCATATTTGCTCTTATTTCATGCATTTTTGATTCAGCAACTTGCAGCTTGGCACTGTTCTCAATAATGGGAGCTTCTCGGGATTTAGCTTGGCGTCTCGAAACCTCAGCGGCCTGTTTACTTTAGCAAACCAACTGAAATATAAGATCAACAAATAACTAAACCAGGCTGAAATCAATATCATTGCCGACATAATAACAAATCAGTCATGATTGTGTGGCCCAAATACGGTTTGATTACCTGTTGTTCAGCTTCATGTCTCATTCTACTATAGCGTTGAGCAAGATGACGAGCATCTTCTAAAGGAGCACCAGTTACCATTGATCTAAGGGGCTCCAACACCTAATACCAAAAAATAAAAGATAAAACAAGATAATGATGAACTCCACTGAATAAAACAAAACCCAATAGATTAGAAAGATAAATGATAGGTAGCTATGCATGATACAGATGAACCATTGTTACAGAATCAAATCTGAAAGAAGTCAAGCGGAAGCGTATGCTGGTCTAATTCGAGAAGTGAAAAAAAAATATAACGGACTCCAAGTGAAATTGAGAAAAACATATCAACTATATAAAATCAGCAGAAAATGACGGTACCCAAGAAGTTCATATATTATATTTAAGGTCAGAAAAGATGATATCTTATGTTAAGGTCAATTGTACTATATAGATCTGGATATACATTGAGTTTGCAACTCAAAAACATGTCAGGAAGTTTCCAAGTTTCATCAGAATGCACTATATACATTGAGTTTGCAACTCAAAAGCATTTCAAGAACTTTGCAAGTTTCATCAGAATGCAATTGAAAAGTAGTATGGTTGCCAGGTACTAGGTTGTAGCCTCAAATGCAGTAGGAACTTTAAACCACTACCCATAAACTCCGTGTCTTTTATTGTCTTCAAAAACTAACATTAGCACATTTTCTAATTTGTAGAAGTGAAACATGGAGAGAACAATTTCTAACTGTAGAAAGCAACATCTCAAAGTAGTTTCTCTTCCAAAAAAAAAAACATCCCAAGTAGTTTCAAACTCTTAATTGATTTTCAATTAAACTTTCAGCAGGCTATAAAATCCAAAGAAATGCTCACTAGAAATCTATTCACTCCTCAGCTAGGCAGCCAGTCATGACTACAATAAGGTAAACAGGGAAAGGAAAGGTCTCCAGCAGATGTTGGCACCTCAAATATTCCTCCAGCTAAAATACTCGGTTTTTGGATAAAAATTCAGAGAAGAGGTCTTAATAGAAGTTAATGCTCCTCAGAGCATGACTGACAGAAGTTTGCGCTCCTTGGTGCATATGACTGCGAGAAGCTAACACACTGTGGATTCTAACTGGAATGAAACTTTAGAGAAAGTACCTGAAGAGGAAAAAAGGAAGTGTTACAGATGGATTGACCTATAATTCCTCTATTTTAGTACCACAATCCGATCAACAGGGCATGTCAGAGATAAATATAACTAGAGAAACTATCTCACATCGCTCCCATCAATTGACTCTATTACCAAGAAAATGGAAAGTTCTAGAAATTTCAAACTGGAGAGATGAGATATAATATTTTAAAATAAAGATATAATTCTGAACAAATTTAGGATTATATAGACAACAATAGTATCCGGTTAAGGTCGAGTGGCTCAAAGATTAAAGAACCCTAAACTATGGATTTCTTTCCTACTTTTAATCAGATTGGCATGCTTGTTTGGCAATTAATGCAGTGGAATGTGACAGCATAAAATGTGATAGAGAATAACTGGAGTAGGATTGATAGGATTCATATTAGTAGCACATTTGGACAACAAACACTCAAAATGCTTGCAAAAGATTGTTACAGCAGAATTGAGTTTTAATTATTTTTTTTAACAAAGAGAAGCCTGACGATATCCAGGACCAGGAACTTATTTTTTTGGAAACTGGAAACTGTTGTATAAATAAGAGGTAAGTACAAAGAAGCAAAGAGAACACCCAAAATAGGCTTACCAAGGAAGGTAGTCCTGTACAAAAAATGGGGTCGTAACAATCAAAAAAGCCCAATCATCATAAACGGGATTACATAGCTACAAAATAAGAAAACTAAAACACAAGTGGTCAAGTAGCCAGATGGTCAGCCAGGGCATTGGATTCCCACTAGATATGCCTCCATGAGACAGCCATATCCCTACAAATGTGAGTAATCTCATCAAAAATCGTGGCTAGGTAACAGGGACAAGATATGGAACCTGAGGCCCAGGTAATGATGTTTTACGCATCACTTTCGATGATCAGGGGCTGCCCCAAGAGGGGTCGAAAAGCCTGAATCCAGATAGGAGGGCTGTGGACTCAGCAAGTTGTGAATCGGCATGGCCAATGTTCCTGGAATATGAGGCGCGGATGTGCCCGAGGTGCTCTCAGAACACACCACCCACCCTTGCCGGACCAGGGTTACCGAGCGAACACCCATCAAAGTTCATTTTGGTTTGGCCCAAAGGAGGAGGGGACCAAAAGTTTGACCGAGAGCAGCGCGGGTTGCGGGCGCTGAGAAGACTCAGAAGAGTTTGCCAATGTTTTAGGAAAGTCGCAGGGGGTGTTCCTTTGAAACTCTTGCGGCTGGTAGCCCAAAAAATGACTGCGGCAATTATCTTGTGGAAGAGGGCTGGAACCTCGCTTTTGACTCCTCAAAAAATCCTTGAGGTCCTCTCGATCCAGATGACCCATATCGTGGCAGCGACCGAGGCTTTCCATAGTGTCCTACTGGCTTTGGTCCACGGGGTGGCAAGAGTAAGTTTATAGAGTGTCGGAACAAAAAGAGAGGTTACCCATTGCAAACCAAAGAGTTGGAGTAAAAGACTCCATAGGTTGTGTGCAATGTGGCAATGAAGGAAAATGTGGGGGTTGCCCTCTTCGTCTAAGAGGCACATCGCGCACCGATTGGGAATAGGGACACCCCAACGCTGAAGATGTTCCACGGTAAGAGCTCTTGCAGAAAGGAAGATTCATAGCCAAAGCTTGGACTTTAGGGGGATCAATAGAAGACCATGCCTGGGTAACAATGGAGTTCAGGGACAGGGGGAATGTGCGTTGCATCATAAGTTTTTTATAGAACGAGGTGACGGAAAAAAACATGAATGGTAGAGCAGTTAAATTAACCATGATGGATAAGAGGTTAGGTGAAAAGGAAGGTGAGTTCAGTAAGAGGAATGGACAATACGGGGGTGCAAAAGGATGTTGTCATTGCTGAAAGTTGTGGGGCAAGGAGAAAGAAGAGTGAGGGAACAGCAAAATCAAGGAGGCAATTAAGGAATAAAACTAACTAGGTAGAAGGGACTGGATGGATTAAATCGTAACCAGTCTTTTTCATCTGGACAGATCATCATCATCATCATCATTGTCGAAGCCTTTTCCCAACTAATTGGGGCCGGCTACATGAATCTTGGTCCGCCATTTTGCTTTATTAAGGGTCATACCCTCAGATCTAGAGAGATCGAATCTTTAATATAATCTAATAGCAAACCATATGTACAACAAATCTTGCTCCCAATCCCCAGAAATGTTTCCTAGACATACTGTAACCATGAGGAATGGCTAAGAACACCAAAAAGATAATTATAGATTATTATGGACAAGAATGACCTAAGACAAAATGGAGAGGGGCACATAGACTAAAAGAAGGTCAAACTATGTACAGGTTTTTCCACAATCTAACTAGGCTAAAATGTGATGAACACTATGGAATGAAGGATAATGAAGGATTGGCCTCTACTTTGCAGGCATCATTGTTAATCATATATGGAATTGCAATCGAAAAAAAGATACATACTGTAACCATGAGGAATGGCTAAGAACACCAAAATGTTTCCTAGACATACTATAACCATGAGGAATGGCTAAGAACACCAAAAAGATAGTTATAGACTTATTATGGACAAGAATGACCAAAGACAAAATGGAGAGGGGCACATAGACTAAAAGAAGGTCAAACTATGTACAGGTTTTTCCACAATCTAGCTAGGCTAAATGTGATGAACACTTTGGAATGAAGGATTGGCCTCTACTTTGCAGGCATCATTGTAAATCATATATGGAATTGCAATCGAAAAAAGATACATTGCAGGCTTCTCGTTGAAGAAAATTCTCATACACCTGTTTTCCTCCAACCAGGAGATAAAATGCTAAAGACAGATGGAGTTCCAAGAGCCTCCCATCACACATTACGAAAGATCCTCCAAAACAAAATTTTATCACAATTAACCGAAAAAAAAAACACATCATGGAACCAATGCAAGCAACTGCATTCCCACTTCTCATTTGAGAAGGTTCAAGCCTTACGAACATCAAAACTTCCAGAACTATATGATTGGTCTAAAGTTTCTACAAGCTACAACTAAAGATGTCATCACTTCCACCACTAAAAGGGCCTTTGTGAAGGGAAGGATATTTTCTGATGGGGACATTCCTATCCATGAAGAGCACGATAGTAAGTCCAAATGTTACACTTTGACAGAAACACATCGTAAGATGGATTTTGGCTTTCAAGAGACATGCTTAATAAGCTGATATCAATGGATCTCTTATTTTGGAAATATCACACTTCTACTCAATTTGTCTTTTGATCTTTACTCAATTTGTCTTGACCAAAAGATCAACAAAATGATTTTTGAAGAGCTATACAGATAGAAACCTTTTCCCAGACTTCGGGTAATAAAAGCCCCAATTTTTTTTTCTTGAGTGGAAACTGAATACAAATAGAAATATCCTCCGGCCTAAGAACCTTTTGCTCCTGCACTTCTCGAGACCTAGAAGGCTCACATCTTCAGTAGGAATACTTGGCATTCACCGGCAAACCAATCAACAAAAACAATAGAGAACCAATGTTTCTACTCTTATCAGAAGTTAATTGTCCGATTGGACACTAAATTAAATCCAAGGAATACTGGAAACACATAAAGTCAAATTTTAGATCGCCAATACAACTGAGTAAAGGGGTTCATTAACTTTCCTCAATGATTTCTTGAGAAAGTCAAGAACTACGAAAATCCATTAAGACTTTTACATTAGGGAAGACTCAGCAAATATTGGAACAGAGACAAACAAATACAACAAAAGCAAGTTTGCTAGGATCGGATCAGTTACTGAAATGGTGAGGGCACCGCCCTAGTTGGACAGACCAAACCAGAGCGTTTTATTGGTCAGACCAGACTAGTAAATAAAAATTAAGAAAACCTGGAAAATTAAGGACAAAGGGGGAAAACAGAGAAAATTGTGAAAAAATCAAAAAATAAAATACAAGTAAATGAAAATGTGAGTCTGTGATTCATCACATCTTTCAATAGATTTAAACTTTTTAATCTCATTCATAGTGGCTTTTTTACTATTTTGAAAAATCCGCTTAATGAATTGCATAAAGTAAATATCCCTAATATCCAATTATCCTAGATCAAAATATCCCCAATAATATAAGCTTCAAAGTTCATTAATCATTCAAAACTAAAAGAAGGTAAAAAACATAAAAAGTCCTGCTTGGAGGAAATGGCAATGACTTTTAGCGAGAGAGAGAGAGAGAGAGAGAGAGAGAGACCACCAAAAACAAAACAAACAAGCAAAAATCCATAGAAAAAGCAAGTAAAACCCACAAAAAAAAAATCACTTTTTCATGTGAAAAAAACTATGAAAAAGCACCCCCGCATAATAGATATTTGATTGAGATTGAATGATTAAAGAGATTCAAAGCTCATTTCAAGATTTCTTGCAAAAACCCACAAAAGAATCCAAAATTTTCCTATTTTTTCCAACAATAAATCAAACAATCAAAGAAGTGGTTGAATATACTTGGGCCTCAAACAAGGGCAGATTGATGGCCGGATTTGCCGTGGCAAATCGCTTGAAAAACGACCCCGAGGACTATGGCATTTTTTGGTAGAGAGAGTAGAGCAGATATTGTCCAAATGATATCTCCCTAAAATTGCACTTTCCAAAACCCTATTCTTCTCTTTAATTAAATTTGACAAAAGTACCCCTAAATGATTTAAAAATGACCAAATGAAGTATGATAAACATGAGTAATTTCAGTAAAAATAAAGGGCATAAAAGGAAACAATGGACCATCTGGTCCACTATGCTGGACCGGATCAGACAGGCAACCAGTTCACTAGTTTCCAGTTTGAACTGGCCGGTCCAGTCCAGTTCCTACAACATTGGTCAGAAGTGAAACCATAGTTGTTCAAAGAGGGGAGAAGCAGGTGTGAGGGTGAGAGATCATCAGTAGGAAGAACCTCCCTAGTTTGGAAGCGTCACTGGAATGCTCTTACAATAAATATTATACAAACTATGAAATCCTAAGAATATAAAACAGACGACTAGTTTTTATAAATTACATTTAGATACACACTTTTTATAAATTATATATACTACATTTGAAATTTTAAGAAATAGAACATACACCTTTTTTTTTGTTTTTGATAAATGTTGACTTTTGTATTGCTATAGAGAGATAGAGTACAGTTTTGGGTTTAATCCGAGAGTACCCTCTAGACGGGACCCTCGGTAAAAAATAGGTCAACAGACCTTGTAACAAAAAATGGGCTTACAAGATTGCCCCCTTAGAAAGTTTACAAGGTATTTGCAAAAAAAAAAAAACAGGCTTATAAGAGTGCCCGTACACAATGAGTTTTCAAAAAGACCAAGAATGCCAAAAAAAATAATAATAATAAGTACAAGAAGTTCAAGTTGAGTTCCACTGGTCCAGCACAAAAAAGAATGTGGACCAGGCTTGAGCGACCTGACTCTTACTTCTAGCTCCCTTTCTCGCCAAACAATCTGCAGAATCATTGGACGTCCTCCAAGTATGCTGCCATGAGACGTCCATAGCCCATTTGAGGAATCGTAGTGGTGTCCAGGACTTCCAGCAAAAGTCGAATGGAGCCCAAAGGTAGAGACTCAAGGGAGATCCAGTGGATGGAAACGAGATTGCCGCAGGCTGCCGCTACTCTCTTAAAGGCCTCTGGTGACCACGCGTGGAGTGGTAAGTGATGGAGGGTGAGCCAAACCCTTTGTTTCCTGAAAGAGCCTTCTTTTGGTGACCACCGTCGAAGAGAGCAAGAGGCTCCTTTGAACGAAGGGTTAGAGGTTTTGAGTAGATTAGCTTCTTCAAGAGAGGAAAAGGAAAAAAGGAAATCTCCACTAGAGAGACATCTACATACTAAGTTCGGCTCCGTCCAAAGGCTTCTGGCCCACCTTTCGATTCCTCTTAAATCATCTCATTCCGGTTGAAAATTACCAACTAAGGAAGCCGAAAGTTTTTTGGTGAGTCTCTCTGTCTCCTCCGGGAGAGCGGTGATGCAAAAAGGTAGGTAGGGGGACATCACAGGGGAGACAGAAAGACTGCTAGGGACCAGAGAAACTTTTGACGTTGGGTTAGGTTTGGAAGACGAAACAACTTGCACAAAAGAGGGTTTGTGGGTAACGGCCGGTGGCGGAGAGTTCTAAGAGGGGGGACGATGTGGATGTGTTTTAGGATACAAGGCATAGATGTCGCTCCAGGTGGTAGGAGGGAAGCAGGGGCGATTAAGCGACCTCCGAATCCTTCCTTTCATGCCTTCCCCCTAAGTTGTTGCTTTAGAACATACACAACTTTTGTAAATTATCTTTTTAAATAAATGATGCAAGTTTAGTAATGATTGGAGTAGAAACGAAGAAATATTACTTTCAAAACCTTGGGTCGTTAATCCATGAGAATTGAGAGATTGAGGAAGATGTCACAAATAGAATTAGACTTGGTGGATGAAGTAGAGATGTGCTTTTGGAGTCTTATGCGATCATCGCATACCAATAAAACTGAAGGGCAAGTTTTATAGGATGGTTGTAAGATCAACGATGCTTTATGGGACAAAATATTTTTTTTTTAGAGAAGTTGACTTAACATTAAGAAATAAAGGAAGTTACATCAATAGAGTTGGGTCCACCACCCGTGGACCTCAGTTGAGTCATAGTCCCTGAGAGGAGGACCAAACGATACAGGCTCAAACACAAACAGCCGAAAAAGCTAACAAGACTAATAGTTATGGGACAGGATGTTGAGCGGCCAAGAAAACTACATATCCATGGAATGAGTGTAACTGAGAGGATGTTGAGATAGATGAACGGCAAGACCAAAAAGGATAGAGTTTGGATGAATACATCTGACGGAACTTAAGGGTAGCTCCAATAGACAATAAGATGAGGGAAAATAGACTTAGGTGGCCAAGCCATGTGTAGCTTCAACCTAGAACAACACCAATTAAGAGGGGTGATTTGATTCAAGAAAAAAGCTTTAAAAGGGCTAAGGAAAAGCTCAAAAGAACATGAATAGAAGTAGTGAAAAGAGATATGGTAACTTATAGTCTGACTAAGGGTATGGCCCTTGACAGAGCCAAATGGTGGAACAAGATTTGTGCAGCCAATCCGAAATAGTTAGGATAAGGCTCGGATGATAATTACGATATTTGGATACACAATAAATATAATCGGAATACAAGATTTGTTTAGCAACCTCAATAGTTTTATTATTTAATAATAGATCTCAAAGTCATTTATTGTGATTAATATTATAGAATTTAATATAAGGAGCAGGATCCACCCAAGATCCCGCTCTAGCGTGGGGTCACCAGGATCACTGCCACGTTGGGAGATCCAGGTAACTAAGAATCGAACCTTTTAAGACAGAGTGAGAAGCACCACAAGAACTCTATGCAGGAAACACCTTTGACCTAGTTGAGGTGAAACAAGCTAAAACTTCTAATAGATTCATAAAAATGCAGGAAAGCATGTCTTTAGGAATTCGTCAAAAAATGATGTTCAAAAGGCTCTCACAATATGATTGACAATACTAGGATAGGCATCCGAATGTAAACCTCAACGTTTTGATTGAAAGTTATATGTCTATTCACTTTCTTTTATGAATCACTCGATAATAAGTAATTAACAAAAAAAATCCAGGAAGAGATACAACATAAAATCCCATAACAAGTCCTTGTGATATGTAAAACTACAAAATGAGAAAGAAAAGCAGACCTGGGAAGAAAGAGTTCTATTGAATTCCTCTTGCTCTTTCTCCACATGTGCCCGCGCTGAGGCATACAGAGATGCAGCCTTCAATAACATCCCATTATCGTTGCATTCAACTCCATATTTCCGACAGTCTTCCGCTAACTTCATTCCTGGTAAAGAAAATATACATGACTTGGTTCCTTACATGTTCCATTACAAATCGAAGTGGTAAAACTACAACTAAGTCCAGTAAAATAACTAGTTCTATTGTGTGATAAATCTTCAACACGTAGCCATAAACCAGAGTTTCAAGTCCTTGTGATATCATTCTACCTATTTCAATCTGCTTAAGTCCATTGGCCATGAATCCTTCAGCAGCTCTGAGTACGTCTCTCTGAAAATTCTGCATCAGAGTAACATTGCAAATTATCATTATAGCAAAAGCTATTATAGATGCTGGCTCCAATAGTTTATCAAAAATATCCAAGTGGCAAAAACTCTGTTTTCAATTGAAGTTCTTAAAATACAAAAGACACGAGGTTTTAAACCTAAATTATGTTCTTGGACATAATAAGAACACCAATAATAAGGCAGAATAAACAAACAACTCCTTATGTTCAATAGCTGCAAATATCTCTGCATCTTAGTGTACCAACAATGCCAATTACAACAAAAGACTGATAAGAAAAACATCCTATAGATGTGAGCATACAAGATCCACGTAGTTACAGAGTTCTAAACATACAACAATGGAGGAATATACATGACTGAAGGACAATGCAATCACACAAGTTCAAACAAATGCATGCCCACAAATATTGGAAATACATAGTAAATACAACCGAACAGAACTAAAAAATAAGCATTTTCAAGTGCATTTTGTAAGCTTTGAATGAACAATGCTAACTACCAATTGACTGTGGTGATAAACTGGCACTGGAAAGAAAAGATCTGTGGCCGATTGTGCAACAACGACCCGGCTTCCTTGATCTCGATCAAGGGAATGAAGAGGAAGGGATCTTCAGCCCTTACTCTTGCCACTCGAGGTACTCGCAGTACACAAGGATGGCCTTCTAACTTAAGGTACTCGTGGTACACAAGGATGGGAATTCTGTCCCTCTCTATACCAAGGAGGAGGAAGAAGAATTTCATTATCAAGTTAACAACAAAAGTAGCTAACTGTTACAGCAATTCCATACATATAAACCAGTTTGCTGAAACTAGAAAATGACTAAAATACCCTTAATAAAATGTGAAATTGACTAGATTACCCCTTTGCCCTATTTCCCATACTTGCATGCAACTTCTTGCACCCAAGTTCCCATGTATGAAGCCAAATTCCTATGCACTAAAACTACACAATTTTGACTTTTGGAATCATGAAAATTTCACACAATAAATTACTTGTCTCTACACCAAATTCCTTAGACAGACCTTAACAAATCCCAAAATGACCAACTAACAAAGAGAAACTGACAAATTCATCCCGGGGCTAAAACAAAGAAACAATGATAGATTCGTCCTGGTGACCAAAACAAATCCTGAAAATGACGATTGCATCAATTTCATCCCGGAAGCCACAAAAACTCCTAGATGCGATTTCCATAGAATAATCTCATACTTCCTAATGAAATGAGGAAACTACAATCATGCATAGAATAATCTGGTAGCTCCTAATGAACAATGGTAACTAACATCTGATTTAAAAGGTTGTGATGTATGTAGGCCTTAATCATGTTAGACTATCCAAAAACAGCAAAGAACATAAATGATTCAGCTATGCTAAAACAGTTAAGAGGAGCTGAGTGACAGCTCAAGGCATTAGTGCTGTCATTGTGTATTTGTACATATGGAAGGTGAAACAGTCGTGCATGCACACAAGACACATGAATGCCAGTTGCATATATTTATTGTTTCATCACACCTATAACAACTAGCTCAGGGAAAGAACCAGAATGAGGTATACCATACAAAATAGCAACTCATATGGTAGTTGTTTAAGGTACCCAACCAGTGTTTGGTCATGATGAATGAAGCAGGCAACAAAAGAAAATCCAAGTCTTAGCACAGCCTTATGGGAGCGACACAGCACATCTACGTCTCACATTCGAGTGTTGAGCCTCAAGTACAGTTCATCCAGTTGCGAGCATAAATGGAACACATTTGAGCAAGTAAATCTCTTTTTGTTTAGTATTATAGCATCCAGATAGTAGAAAACTACTGGGCATTGGTTAAGTAAGTTTTTTTTCCTTTGCCTGATCCCCTTTTTCTAATCACAGCTCCATATCAAAGAGGAATATTCTAGAGAAAAGGAAATTAAGTTATCAGTTATCTAATACATTTTAAATACAATGTGAGGAGAGAAACCAGAAGCTAATGGACCCAGCCCCAATGTCTCAGGTGAACATGATGCTAGATGTGAATGGACTGTGAACCAACAGAAAATTGGATGTCAAATGGGTTTTGGGGGCTAACAAAGACCCTTAGCCGGACAGTAGGCTAGCAAAGAAGAGATTTCGGTTGACAAGCACATTAGTTCCAGAAATCAGGACTACACCAACTCAGCGGAAGGCTGAGGAGGAAGAAAGAATATATAAATGAGGGGGACAATGACAGAGATAATATGGTTCAGCTTCAAATGTAGGAGACAGAGGAGACGAACATGCACACGAATTGGAGTCTGATTGAGTGTATATCTCTTTTATTTTCTCTGACATGAACTTTGGTGTTTGGAATTACTTGCGAAGTACTTTAGGCTCTTTATTATTCGCCTATATGCTACAATTAACTCAGGTGTTAAATCATAGTTACCGGAATCTCACCTCGGACCCCACGATTCCGGTTCCAAAACCCGTTCTGCTTTTCTGTTAAGGAAACTCCATGGAAACCGTTTTTTTGAACCAACGAAACTCGATTCCTTTATTTCGGAATCTCGATACCTAGGTGAAAACCTTTTTTTTGAAATGTAGGAAACGCGATTCCTTAATTTCCGAATCTCGATCCCTCACATATGTGGAAACCTATTTTCAGAACCAAGGAAACTGGATTCCTTAAATTCAAAATCTCGATTCAACACTTATTTTAAAACTATTTTTCGGAACCAAGGAAACTCGATTCCTTAGTTTTGGAATCTCGATTCCTTAATTTCGAAATCTCGATCCAACAGATCTAGAGAAACTTGAACCCCCTAATTGTGGGTAGACGCTCCCAAATAGATTGAATCTGGCTTCTAACGAGGTTTAACCCTTGATGCCATATTAAATGATACACGATTCTACAAGTAATGGAACTCATTTCGTCAAGGTTTTGAATCATCTACACCGTATAAAACATTAGTTTCTTGTAAATAATAACCACAAAAGTAATGTTTTATTTTCTGGTGGATATCATGCTTTAAGGTCCCAAACGATAGCATTAGGCAGCATGTGTACTTGAAAGCAGTATTATTATTTATAAGGCATGTATTTTAGAAGGAATTTAATGACATTGTGTTGCTTTTTTAGTTATATTTATTATGTTTCTATAGTTGCATTAATGTAAACTGTTATACTTTCTTTACCTTGCTCATAGTTATCTGAATTGCTTAAGTGAACTTGCACGACGTCTGACCTTGCAACATTGCTTAGTACTGTACTACCGATTGCAAAATTGTTATTAGGAATGTTATTTTTACTTCTTTTTTTCCTGATTTAAATGCCTATAGAATAATGTTCCTTATATTTGCAGACTGCCTTGGTTTTTTAATCTTGCCCAAATGTTATGTGAAATTATTTAAATGCCCATAGAATAATGTTTCCTATATTTGCGGTGATGTAAACTGCCTTGGTTTCTTAATCTTGCTCATATGTTATTTGAAAAGACTGCTTAAGTGATCTTACACCATGTGTAGCCTCACAACATTGCTTAGTAATGAAATACTGAATGTAAAGTGGTTATTAATAATGCTAATTTTATTTATTCGCCTCCAATTTAAATGCCTATAAAATATTGAAATTATGTAATAACATACAAAGCAACACACATGGATTGACAATTCTACACAACAACATATCTATGTACCACATATGTCAGAAACTCGAATCAAATGATGTCGGAAACTCAATTATGCTATTGTAATTCTCGATCTCAAACCAGCATGGATCTCTGATCTTGATTCCAACTATGTGAGAAATACGATTCCATAGATGATAGAAACTCGATTCCAAATATGTTAGAATCACGATTCCATAAATGATGGAAACTCGATTCCGTATATGTTGGAAACTCGATTCCATAGATGACGGAAACTCGAGTCCGCATATTCATGAAACTTGACACTTAGAGTGTGGAACCCAGGGGGATGGGAATCTCGATTCCAAGGAGGCCAGAATCTTGATTTCATATGTGGATGAAACTTGGACCTATTTCAATCGACACTCGATTCCTGAAAATTAGGAATCTCGTTCCTAGCGATTTCTATTGTACAGACAACGATTCCTAGAATGGGAAACTTCTGGCCAGGCGCGATTCCACGATTCCGGTTCCTGAAACGATTCGAGTTCCCAAGCGTTTCCAACAACTATGTGTTAAATGGTAATTCATTCGATTGGGATAATGCATTCACTTTTGTGTTCTATTGCATTTAATGAATCAGTTGGATTAATGAATCAGTTGGACCATTTTATTTTAATATTTTAACATTTTAATTATATTAATGAATAAAGATTGAAAAATATATGTTATTCTATATCAATGACTCAAAAAACATATATATTAGGAGAAACGCCAAAAACGAAATACCTACTATCACATAAATTACATATTCAAGTTATTCTTCCTATTCCTACAATATTTCTAACGTTTTTCAGTATTTATTGACCACTTCAGAAATATAGTTGCCAGTGGTTAAAGGGCGATAGTCTCAAGAATCTCAAATTTTCATCATGATAAACCTATCAAACTTGAGGCATTTCAATATCATTTGGTCCACTTTAGATGACGCAACGGTCCAAGAGAGCCCTCAATAACCCAAGCCGATGATTGACGAAAGAAGATGACGGTCTCAGATTCTTGTGAAAGTTTCTGGTGTTTTAATCCAAGGCATTATAAGCTTGCTGTAATCAAACCCTCAGGTCCTCTGGACCTGGTTTGACCCAATTTTAGAAGAGGCAAAGTTGAAGGTTTTAAAAGCCCTAACTGCCAGTCCATACTGCCCTAACAACCCGTCCACAAACAGGCATGCTGCCGCACAGAGACTGCATGACCACCAGGCGTTCTTTCTTCAACTTTCCCTTGTCTTTGCGTATTTTTGGCTGGAATTTGGGGAAAATGTTCCTCTTTCATTGCTCTATAGACCCATACAAATAGTGGAAGGGACTATTACAAGACTGGGGAAAGAAATTGACGATCAAATCAAAGGTCGTA